CTCGCAAATTCAGCGCCTCACAACCATAAAGCAGGACCGAACGAACGCTAGCACACTATACACGACCTTTCAACTTAGGTGAAACGTTGCGTCTACGCCAGAGGTGTTTCAGTCATGCATATGCTGCTCGAGCCTTGGAAATGCGGGCGGTTATCTCCTTTGCTGCACTACCGTCATTGGTCACGCAACTACCTAAGAAGGAAAAGTAATCCACCACAACTAAATCCTGGCCATTCAGTTTCAGAGTGGGAGTAAACGAAACCCAGTCCTGCAGCAGCACTTTGCACTTTGAAGGTGCAAAGCACATATCGAATGTGGCTACTGCACTTGTTTATCTATCAAGTGTACTTTGCGAGTCCTCCATACATTCGAACAGACAAACGATGTCATCGGCGTACTCCAAATCGCATTGCTTTTCTCCAGCTGTCCATTCAATACCTACGTATCCGAGTCCCCTTAGTGCGCTCTCCAGTATTTCGTCTACGACGAAATTGATCAGGAACAGCGAAAGAGGGCACCCTTGACGAACAGCCTACTTAGTTCGTTATAGACCCTTATACGACCGGAGGTATGTGAGTACAGTGACCTCAGTAGGTTAACGTACATCTGGGGCATTCCTGCTCACGGAGCTTCAGTCGGAGATGAAGCAGCCTGGTTAGCAGTAGGCCAGCTGAACTGTTCGTTGAAGTATTCTGCCCAGCAATCGAGTCGTTGATCCCTATTGTGAATAGCTCATCCCCTCTTATCGCCGACCTCCCGTGTTGCGTATCAGTCGGAACAGTCTTTGACTTTTCCCTGACGCATCTGCTATTTCCATTTCACTAGCTATTTTTGCTCACCAGTTCTCACGGTCCTTCGTGATACTCTTCGTGAGCCGACTTTGTAGCTGCCGCCTCACTCTATTTTGATGCTGGAAGGTCGGGCCTTGCCGTTTTTGCTCCATCAGGGCTACTGACTCCTGAGATATCCAATGCCTCCGATGGGCTTGGGGCTCAAACCCACAAGCAACATTCGCTGCGAAATGCATTGCTCGCCTAATCTGATTCCGCTAGCGGTCCATATCGCCACGTTGAAGCGCATTTAGCTTACGCTCTAGCTCTGACTCATAGCATGCACGCCTGCTGTACAGCCGAAGTTCACTGGGTCTGCTAAAGACTCGTGGTGTTGTTCTTGTTTGGGTTAGATGGGCTAGTGCCAGGTCTCTTGTTGCGGTGACCTGTCCGATCGATCGATAAACGAATCTTATCGGTCGTGTGGTTTTCGAGCCGGCATAGGAAGATAAGTTTTCAATCGAATGCTGCTTAAGTGTTGATAGAGAATCACCGTAGGAGTATCAGTTGTGGAACAATGTGTCATGTGGGAAATTCGGAATGAAAAAGTTCAAGTGATGATGACAGCTAACTTTCGACTCCTCCAAAATACGTGCACTATTTTTTAAGCGGGTTCTCGTGCAAATTTTTCGGCACGCGCAAGACAGGATTTTACTTGGAAGAAATTCACTCCTATCAGTCAATCGAAGGCCATGGGCGCCAGCCTACAGGAATTACGACAATTCTCAAGCAATTAACGATTCATAAACTGAAAGTGCGATGATTTTTCTAATTTCATCGGTGATCTAGGACAAGTGGGAATATTATACATTCATTCACACAGGCGCATTTGCGCGACGGTGGTTAGCGATCGCTCGGATGTTACATCTCACTCCACTTACCCGCTTACCAATAATTTGGATATCAACAAACGCGCTTTCTAAATCAGCTGTACATTCCAAAAACCGACCCAAACTATAACTACACTGTACCTCAGAGGTGTCGTGTAGATTGAAACTTTTCTCCCTTCACGTTCCCACAAAGCAGTAACGTGGTACTCTATTCGGATTTCTTGGACTCAGAAAATGCCTTCATTTTCTGGGGGCTGGTTTTAATACAAAGCTATTTC